CCATGTCCATGGGGGTGACGGCATATGCCCAGCGATAGATGTTATCAGAAGAAATAAACTGGGCCCATTTTCCCCACGTCGTACGAATCTTTCCTCTGCAATCACCCTCATGTCTTGACGTGAGTTGAACTCCATCTTTACTACTAAAAATAAACTCCAGGTCAAGTGCAATGCACAAAAGCCTCAACATGAAAACCACAAGAAACACAGTAATATGAGAAACGAGCCGAGGCCAGTAGCGCGCTGAGAAGTCTCTGTTAGAGCACAGAGTATGGAGTGAGCCAGAAGTTCTTTGAAATACCGTGGACACCACATACAGGAAGTGACCTTGACTCATGGGTCGTGTGGCTCGAAACGGGTGCTGGCTAGCGTTCACACACAGGAAGTCAGAAGCTATCTGGTGCCCTCTCACCAAAGGCCTAGGAGGACCAGACAGGCCAGGAGATGCTTCTAGGGGGAGGCAGGGCCAGGGAAGAAGCCAGAGGAACAAGGGAAGGACCCAAGGGGAGGCAGCACTTCCTGTCTGCATGTCCACAGAGCGGCTGGGTGAAAGGAGCGCACTGACAGGGCCGGAGCTGGACAGGGAAGGAGCCGGAAGGAGAAGCAGTTGGCTCGGCTCCCATCCATGGGCTATGTCCTCAAGCAAGGGTTCGTCATCCTCAAGGCTACCCCACGTAGGGGCTGGTCCATTTTGCAGCTGAGAAAGAGGATAGCTGGATACAGTGATGCATGCATGGAATTCCATCCACCCGGGAGGCTGAAGTGGAAGGATCACTTGAGCTCAGGAGTTGGAGGCCAGCCCAAGCAACATAGCAGAGACCCCCATCTCTTGAAAAATTAATAAAACAAAATAAACATGAAATAACAAAGAAAAGAGGGCAGGTCGGGCGTGGGGGCTCACACCTATAATCCCAGCACTTTGGGAAGCTGAGGTGAGAGGACTGCCTGAGCCCACAGGTTCAAGACCAGCCCGGGCAACTTGGTGAGACCGCATCTCTACAGTAAATCAAATAAAATTTGCCGGGTGTGGTAGCACATGCCTGTAGTCCCGGCTACTTGAAAGACTGAGGCAGAAGGATCGCCTGAGCCTGGTAGGTCGAGGCTGCAGTGGCTGTGAGCGTGCCACTATACTCCAACCTGGGCAGCAGAGTGAGATTCGGACTCAAAAAAAAAGAAAGAAAGAAAAAAAAGAAAAGATGGCAGAAGCGGGAGGCTTGCTTGATACCAGAAGTTCAAAACCACCCTGGGCAACAAAGCAAGACCTCGACTCAACAAAAAAAAATCTTTAAAAAATGAGCCAGGCGTGGTCGTACATACCTGTAGTCCCAGCTATGCAGGAGGCTGACACAGGAGGATGGCTAGAGACCAGAAAGTTGAAGGCTGTGGCAAGTGCTCAGGTCACTGCCTTCTAGCCTGGGACACAGAGTGAGACTCTCATTCCAAAAAATAAAGGAAAAAATAAAGAGAGAGGCATTTAAAGAGCTGTGAGCAAACTGCCCAGAGTCACAAAGACAGTGGGAAGAAGGGGAGAATCCAGAAGCGTCTGACCCCGTGCCCCGGAGCCTTTGTTCTGCGACAGGTGCTGTTGCCTGAACCTCCTGAGTAACTGGGACTACAGGCATTCTTGTGGTTTTTGTATGTGATTTATTTATTTATTTTTTGAGTCAGAGTCTCACTCTGTCGCCCAGGATGGAGTGCAGTGGCACGCTCCCGGCCACCACAGCCGCGACCTGCTGGGCTCCAGCCATCCTTCCGCCTCAGCCTTCCAAGCAGCCGGAACTCTAGGAGCATGCTACCGCACCCAGCTAGCTTTTTGCTTCATTGTAGAGAGGTGGTCTCCCCAAGTTGCCCAGGCTGGTCTCGAACCCCCTCCCCAGGCTGCTCAGGCAATCCACTCGTCTCGGCCTCCCAAAGTGTTGGGATGACAGGCTGAGCCACCGGGCCTGGCCTTTTGTTTTTTAACTTTTGTAGAGACAAGATTCTGCTGTGTTACCCAAGTGTATCTCAAACTCTTGGGCTCGAGCGATCCTCTTGCATCGGCCTCCCAAAGCGCTGGGACTGCAGGCAGGCATCACCACGCCTGGCTAAATCTTTTTTATGTTTTGTAGCAACAAGGTCTCGCGATGCCGCCCAAGCTGGTCTCCAATTCCTGGGCTCACGGAAGGAGAGGTGCGGGCAACCTCCTACTGGCAACCAAGCTGCCGTCTAGACAGGGTACAGCTCCTGGGGGGAGAGGAGCCCCAGACAGGTCTGCCGAGTCCCTGGCCTGCTCACAGGGGCTGGCAGCACTGCTCACGTGCACGGTCATGGCACCCAGGGACGGTCCTTCTGGTTTTCCATCCTCTACCCCAGGACCAGGGCCCCATGAGCGCTTTCCCCCATATGGGGCCAGCCCACTCCAGCCTTGCATAGGTGACGGGGTGTGGGGACCGGTAGAAAAGGCCACTGTACTCGACAAACCCTCCTGCTCCAAGACGTGGGTCAAGAGACAGCCTCCTGTTTCATAACTCGATGGCTTTGAGCGGAGTCCTTGAGGGCCAGAGAGGCTCGCGGCCTTTCTGAATCAGGGTCTCCTCTGCCTCCCAGCAATGCAGCGGCACAATCACAGCTCACCACAGCCTCAACCTCCTGGATTTAGGCAATCCTCCCACCTCGGCCTCCTGAGTAGCCAGGACTACAGCTGTGCACCACCACACCTGGTTAATTTTTTAAAATTATTTTTTGTAACCACAGGGTCTCTCTATGCTGCCCAGGCTGGTCTCCAGATCCTGGGCTCAAGCTATCTTCCCGCCTGGACCTCCCAAAGTGCCTCCCCCACCTCCCAAAAGCTCTGGCACCTGGCTGGAAAAGTTTTTCAATTGCTCATCAGCAGCTCAGCTCAGAGTAGACTTGCTTCACAAGCACCTTCCAGAGGCCAGAAAGGCAGCTGCCACCCCAAGAAGTCTCCTGCCTGGAGAGGACCCCTCTACCGCCTGGTCCTCTGTGCACCTGGCAAGTGTGTACCTGACCCCCACCTCACTGAAGGGCAAGACCTTGAGCTCTCCACCTCCACGCGTGAACATGGCAGCAGATCAGAAACACAAAGGCACTTTGGAGATAGCCAGGCATGACCCAAAAGGTGACAGAGGTCAGGACAGCAGCACACCCCCCCAGACGCCCTCGGCCCTTCCCAATGGCCCTACCCAGCTGTCGTCTGGCTGGTCCACCCTTCCTCACCCACCTTCCACCCTGACAAGTCTTGACATTCATGGAGTCACGGTCATCTCCTTTGCATCAGGCTGTTTATTCTTTCTAATATCTGACCTCCAAAAAAGACAGCTGACCTCATTCTTTCCCCTGAACCTCTCTTTCCTCTCTCACTTTCTCTCTCTTCTCTTTCCTCTTCCTCTCTCTCCTCTCTCTTGTCCCTCCCCCCCCTTTTCCCCTTCAGTGACTCATTCATTTGTTCTACTAACACCCACCCTGTGAAGCCCAACCCTATGCCAGGCGCTGTTTGGGGACATGGAAGACTGTCCTTGCTCTGAACAAGCTCTCCAGCGACACGGGGCGGTGAGGGGAGGGGGAGAAGACCTCTCCATGCCGTACAGCGTGTGCTACAAGGGGGCCGTGTCTTCACTGCCTGCTGCGTCCGGGGGATGGGGGTGACCAGCTCCGCATGGGGCAAGGGGTCTGGGCACACGCGGGAAGGGGGTTCACAGCCTTTGTGGCAGGCGAAAGACAGAGACAGCCGCAAGCCACAGCTTTTGACGTGGCCTGGTACACCGAAGGGATTCTAAACAACGCGATTCATGAATTTATTTAAAAAATAAAAATAAAACCTCTTCATGGGGGAGCAATCCCTCCTCTGCCCCAGGCAGCTGCTAAGCTCCTCAATCCGTGGTCTCATCCAAAACGCGCAGCAGCCCACGGGGCAGGCAATGATGCAGTCCCCGTTTTACAGACGAGGTGACTTAGGCTTGGAGAGGCTGAGTGATTTGCCCAAGGTGAGGTCAGTAGCAAACACAGGAAAACCCAGGTCTGCCTGGAGGCCTCGGTCTCAATCTCTTCCCCTCTTCCCCCCAGGAGCCTCGATGTGATGTGTCTGAAGCATGTGACTCAAAAAGGTGGACAAGGATGCATGGAATGGGCCAGGGAGGGAAGAAGAGCTCGTGTTCTAGATGTTCCTACATTCTAGATGCTCCTATGTTCTAGATGTTCCTACATTCTAGATGCTCCTACGTTCTAGATGCTCCTACGTTCTAGGTGTTTCTACGTTCTAGATGTTCCTACGTTCTAGATGTGCCTACATTCTAGTTGCTCCTACGTTCTAGGTGTGCCTACGTTCTAGATGTGCCTACATTCTAGTTGCTTCTACATTCTAGATGCTCCTACGTTCTAGATGTGCCTACATTCTACTTCTACGTTCTAGATGTGCCTACATTCTAGATGCTCCTACATTCTAGATGTGCCTACATTCTAGTTGCTCCTACGTTCTAGATGCGCCTACATTCTAGATGCTCCTGCATTCTAGATGTGCCTACATTCTAGTTGCTTCTATGTTCTAGATGTGCTTACATTCTAGATGCTCCTAAGTTCTAGATGTGCCTACATTCTAGATGCTCCTATGTTCCAAATGCTCCCACATTCTAGCTGCTCCTATGGGTGTTTTATCCCATGAAACAGCCCTACCTCACCTCCTCCTCCTCTGCCCAGCCCAGTCTCCAGTCTTCAAGACAGCTGGGGCACACCCAGCACCATGCATCAGAAGTGACATCAACCTGAGAGGTGGCGGGCTCCCCGCCATGAGGGACAGTGGTGAGCTTCCTGGGCATGGTATGCAAGTGGAGCCCACTCTGAGAACAGGCTCAGCATGAGCTTATGGGATGCAGCTTCCTTAGCACTTTGAACCAGCATGGGGGAATGTTCTAAGACGTGAGAGCCACATGGAGCCAGGTTGCAAGAGATCACCAATTCCAAGCCACTCTGGGGCCCACAGGGTTTAGGAGGAGAAAATCCCTTACCTTAATTCTCCAGTCCCCAAATGTTCCAGGCTTAGTCCAGGGAAGAACAGTTCTCAAGTCTTTCTGGAGTGCTGAAGGGCTATGTATTTTCTCAGAGTAAAAGCACCTAATTCCTAGGTGGAACAGGATTCTAGAAATAGACAAGAAAGAGACAGAGATGATTACTATCAATGCTTGCCTTGAATGGATTTGGTGATGAGATATTTCATTCATTTAAAAAATAAGTACACCCGGGTGCTACAGCTCATGCCTGTAATCCCAGCAATTTGGGAGGAGGAGGTGAGAGGATGGCCTGAGTCCACAGGTTCAAAAGCAGCCTGGACAACGTGGTAAGACCTCGTCCCTTCAATAAATCAAAAAATTAGCCGGGCACGGTGCCACGTGCCTGTGGTTCCAGCTACTTGGAAGGCTAAGGTGGAAGGATCGTCTGCGCCCAGCAGGTCAAGGCTGCGGTGGCCCATGGGTGTGCCACTCCCCTGCAGCCGGGCGACAGAGTGAGACTCCAACTCAGAAAAAAAATAAGAAGTGATCATGTGTTGGGTGTTTGATAGACATTAAGCCACTGACTCCCGTGAGATCGGTTTTGATTTCCTCTCATTTCAGAAGTCACATGGTGGCCTAGAAAGAGCTGAGGGTTGGGTCTTCCTGACTCCCAAGGCCAGTGCATCAATCACCTTCCGCTTCCCTCCTACGCCATCTCTTCATCTGACTCTTCCATCGTCTGAGAATTCTAGGTGGAGCAGAATGAGAAACACACCCGACAAACCCCCTCTTGAGCACAGCCTGCCTCTGGATGCCAGCCTATCCACACACGGCGCAGCCCACGTGAGCCTGCGGTGGCATGGGGTCCATTTCGCTGAAAATGCTATCTGAGATCAGCACTGTCATCTCGTAACATGTGATCAGTGGGCCGTGTGCATTACTGAAAAAGCCAAAGACGCAGGCTCCCCGGGAAGCTTATCCTAACTGATCATTGCGATCACAGCAGGGTGACCCAAAGGGGTGGGGTGTGTGGAATGGAGACGCAGGGGAAAATCTCCCAGGCTGCCCCAGTGCAGAACCTGACGCTCAGTCTGGTGGGCTCAGGCACTGACCTCCTGCCCTTCAAGGGTCAGCGATGCGCTGGTCTGACACCCACAGAAAGCCACCTTATGACACTGACAACAGGGTCCCTTTCCTTTCCAGGCCTCGCCATTTCATCTACCCAAAAATAAACACCCAGCATACTGGCAGCCAAGTCGGGAAGGAGAGGCAGCTTGGTCAGTGCAGACCCAGAGCCCAGGGCACTGGAAAGTTCTGTAGGGGAATCTGCCCTCAATGCTGGGAACAGCTGACGCGATGTCCTTGCCCCGCAGCTGGGAGCAGAGGACAGGTGGCCTGGACCCCCCGCAACAAATTCCCCCTCTCTCCCAGGGACAGTTTGGCTGCAAGAGACTTCTCTGAGGCCTCTGGCTGCCATGCTCCTCCCCCAGGAGTTGGTATAGCAGATACACCTACAATAGCTTTGGTAGCCTCCGAGAGGCCCTGCCCCCTTGTCAGGGCTGGTTTCACGTGTCCAGTGCCCAGGGTGCAGGTCCCAGCAGTAAGGGAACTCAGAAAAGTCCCCTCGACAAGCGTCATGCCTAGAAAGACCACCCTCAGCACCCAGCACTCCCCCGTGGGCAGCCTCCCACACTGGGCTTTCTGACCAGGAAGGCACTTTCTGCCTTACTGTCAAAATGTACTTTCTCCATGACCCAGAAAGAGCAGTGGTTGGCCTCCCAGTGATGGTGGGCTTTCTCAGACCTCCCGGGCTGGTGTCTCACTTGATCCAACTACCCAAAAAAACCTTTCCAGAAACACGAACAAGTTATTTAAACTCGCTGAGCCTCAGTTTCTCATCTTAGTGGCTTGTTCTTAGTGTGAAATGAGAACCTTTGCAGAGATTAGCGCTTGGCCCTGGACATTATAAACCATAAGAAATGACAGCTACTGCCCACTGGGTGTGGTAGCTCACACCTGTCATCCCAGAACTTTGGGAGGCAGAGGTCAGAGGACTGCCTGAGTCCGGGGCTTGACTGCAGCCTGGGAAATTTGATGAGACCTCGTCTCCACAGAAAATCAAAAATTGAGCTAGGCGTGGTGGCACGCACCTGTGGTTCCAGCTACTTGGAAGGCTGAGAGGGAAGAATGGCCTGAGTCCAGCAGGTCGAGACTGTGTGGCCATGAGCATGACATTGCACTCCAGCCTGGGCGACAGAGTGAGTCTCCTACTCAAAAAAATAAAATAATAATAATAATAAATAAATGACGGCTATTATTAACACCACTTAGATAAACGCTCCAGACTAACTTCTTTATCTGCTCCCAAGAGGTTTAAAAATAAAAGGTAGCGAGGTGCAGTGGCTCATGTCTGTCATTCCAGGACTTTGGTAGGCTGAAGCAGGAGGATTGCTCTGAGTCCAGGAGTTCGAGACCAACCTGGGCAACATAGTGAGACCTCATCTCTACAGAAAATCAACCAGGCATGGTGACACTTGCCTACAGTCCCAGCAACTCGGGAGGGTGAGGCAGAAGGACCGCCTGAGCCCAGGAGATCGAGGTTGCAGTGAGCTGCGATCATGCACTACAGGGTGACACAGTGAGACACCCAACTCAAAACAAAACAAAACACAGAAAACAGTTTTCCCATCTCCCCACAAAGAGTCAGTGTCAGGGCTAAGCCGCGGGGCCAAGGGAACACAGGAAGGCCACGAGACTGAGCTGCAGACCACACTTGCGTCGAGACCCTCGGCTCCAGGCCTGACTGGGACCCTCACTCCTCATCTCTGAGGAACAGACGGAGCACGCCCCATCCCCAGGCGTGCCTCCAGGATAAAACCGGATGCGCACCACACAGGTGCTCCCCGGACCCCTGGGCCCCAGGAAACATAGGTGGGAATCACAGGAGCGCCTTGAACCAGCAGCGGCTACAGCAGGCCCTTGGCTAGGGATGGTCCTCCAAACCCGTTCAACACACACACTGACCCCGGGAGGTCAGGAGCAGATGTGACCATTGTTCCCATCTTACAGATGTGGAAACTGAAGCTCAGAGGGGCTAAGAGGCTGCTCGACTCCCACGGCAAAGCTGAGGCTGGATCCCGGCCTTGCAAGCTGACGACCCTCCCTCCTCCTCGTAAGGGACGGAGCGGGAGAGGACTGATGACACAGCAAGAGACAGAACGTTGGCCTCTGCAGAAAAGAACCTCTGTCACAGGCCGATAAGCTGATGGATGTTTTTAACTAATGCTTCTAACCACGCACACGAACATGACCCCATGAAAATTACAGAAATCAAAATTTCCTAGTCCCTCCCTCCCAGGAGCCACCTGGAGTCCCAGAAGTCGCCAGGGACATGCGGCTCAGAGTCCAACGCCCAACAGGAGGGTCACAGACTTGCCTCGATACACCAAATCTGCCCAGCAGTGGGGTCCTTTCTCACCCACAGAGATGAGCCCAGCACAGGGTGACAGGACTCACTTGGCCACTGCAAGGAAACTTGCTCAGAAATCCAGCAACCAGCCAGATGCAGGGCTTCACACCTGTAATCCCAGTACTTTTGGAGGCTGAAGCAGGAGGATTGCTGTGAGTCCAGGAGTTCGAGACCAGCCTGGGCAACTTGGTGAGACCTCATCTCTATAATAAATCAAAAAATTAGGTGGGCATGGGGGCATGCACCTATGGTTCCAGCGCTTGGGAGGCAGAGGTGAGACGATTATCTGAGCCCAGGGGGTTCAAGACAAGCCTGGGCAATTTGGCAAGACCTCATCTCTACAATAAGTCAAAAAATTAGCTGGGCGTGGGCGTGGCAGCACACACCTATAGTTCCAGCTACTTGGAAGGCAGAGGTGGAAGGATCGCCTGAGCCCAGCAGGTAGAAACCGCGGTGGCCGTGAGCAGTGTGCCACTGCACTCCAGCCTGGGCGACAGAGTGAGACTCCAACTCAAAAAAAAAATTAGCTGGGTATAGTGGTGAGCACTTGTAATCCCAGCTTCCCAGGAGGCTGAGGTAGGATGATCCCTTGAGTCCAGGAATTTGAGGCTGCGTGAGCCATGATCATGCCACTACCCCCCAGCCTGAGTGACAGAGGGAGACCCTGTCTCAAAAAAGAAAGTAATGAATTAAAGAATAAGCGGCATGCCTAATCACGCTTAAGGTGGTTTGGATACAACCCCACAATACACAGCTACTCAACCAACCCCCAAACATGCCAGGAACTGTGCAAATACCTCATCCCTACAACAAACCTCGAGGGCAGGGAAGTAGGGGATTGCTCTTAATCCCATTTCACAGCTCAAGAAACCAAGGCACAGGGACTCAGCAAAAGCGCCTGAGGTCTCTGCAGGGAAGGACAGAAAGTCCAGCTGCAGACCATCACTGCCCCAGGACAGCCTGAGAACCTGGAGCTCCAAGCCAGTGCCCTAAAAGCAGCATCTGTGAGTCGGACGGGCGCAGCCCTTCTAAGGTCTAGACACCTCCTATCCTTGTATAAGGACGGTGTCACGCAGGAAAAGCCTTTGTAAACTGTGGAATGCCGTGTGGGCCCCACCATCGACACAGATGGTGTGGCGGGCATGAGGGAAGCTTCTGGAAGGTCCACCTTCCTGGGAGGTTTCCCCTGAGCCACCAGAACCTTCTCCCCTCCTAGCCTCCGACCTCACACTTTCCTTTCCGCAGTGCGTTCACAGTCAACTTTCCCCACAAGCATCCTCCCACGGCAGGGGTGTTATGAGGTCAACCCCAGAAGTACACAGTTTTCATTTCTTCAACCCAAAAACCTCCCTTCCTGCCGGCACACCCAGGCCCTGCCACTCGGAACATCAAAGTCACTGCTTTCAGTAAGAGCCTGATCACTCGGGTGACTCGTGAAGAGACAGAGGCTGTGGCGAGGCAACCGAGCCAGGAAGAAACGGTGGCCTGCCCCGGCAAAGGCGTCACAGACGGTCACCTGCCCGCGCCCCTCTCCAAGGCCTGGGCTGGGCTGACCAATCTCCAACAAGGGCATCTCGTGGCGGGAGCGGGTTGGCCCAGGCCTCCTCTGGGTCCCTTCTCATGCTTCCTGCTTCCTGGGCTGCAATGACAGCTCATTTACACATGGAAAGAAAAATTAG